GTGACTGGCCCGCGTCCTCGTTTAACAGGCTGGGCTGAGGCCGATTTGCGAATTCATGACCTTCAACTTCTCCATGCAAGCCATCGACCAGGTGATCAACTCCGCCGCCAAGACCTCTTACATGTCTTCCGGCATGGTCTCGGTCCCGGTGGTCTTCAGGGGCCCCAACGGCACCTCGGCCGGCGTCGGCGCGCAGCACTCGCAGTGCTTTGCCGCCTGGTACGGGCACTGCCCTGGGCTGAAGGTGGTCAGCCCGTGGAGCTCCGAAGATGCGAGAGGTCTGCTCAAGTCGGCCATCCGGGACGACAATCCAGGTAATTACCAGCAGGAAGTCCTGCTGTACTCGAATAACTAGTCTCGGCGTGTGACGCTGCGGCTGTGTGCCCTCCGCTTCCCTTCTCCACCTTGACCCCGCGAACAACGTGCTTAAAGCGTGTGACTCGGATTGTGAAGGTAATCCTGGAGACCTCTTCTCCTGACTGCGATCTCTTTTTCAAAACCAAAGTTAAACTAGAACAGCATTTCCCAACCTTTTCCTCCCCACAGCACTTGCCTAAATAAAGAGGCACCACGGCACACTGGACGTGGAGCAGGGGATGGCGCGTGGCCAGCCGGACGCTGACGGCAGGGGGGCACGCAGCCGGCCCAGCCGCATTTTGGGCTGGAGTCATGCCCCCTGCCTGGCTGGAGTCATGCTCCTCGTCTGTCTGTGTCTGCCCACAGCAGCAGCAGGCAGGGGCTTGGCTCCAGCCCAGCACGCTGCGGCACTGGTTGGGAAACGCTGAACTAGAATATGGGCACCCCCAGAAAGTCAGCTTGTACATTGCTGTCCTAGGAAAAGGATGACAAGCATAGCCCTGTCTCTTTAGACCCAGTCCTGTAGCCGTCACTTGCGTGTCTGGAACAAATGTGGAAGCCGTCTGGGAGCAAGTTCTGGGTTTCTGATTACCCCCCAAATGTTGCATTTCCAAATGCTTAGTGTAAAATCACCCTCTGGATGTGGAATCAGTCAGTCAAAGAAGCCATTTCAAAATTGTGCAGTGCTACAAGTTAATAGCTACTTAAGTGAAGCTTCGAGTCCTCCGGGCTTGTCTAAGCGTGCTGCTGCGTTATACTTGTCCTCCTGTAATTGAGCCGAGAGGAGGAGTCCACCATCGTGGGCCCTGACAGTCTTGGAAAATGTTGTGTGGCACCTGGATTGGGGGACCTCCAGACTAACCCAAGTGACCACTCTAATGATCTTTAGTTGTGATGCTGGAACATGAACTGATGTATGGAGTTCCCTTTGAGATGTCGGAGGAAACGCAATCAAAGGACTTCTTGGTTCCTATTGGCAAAGCCAAAATAGAGAGGCCAGGTAAGTTCAGAATGCCACTATTCTGTATATTCTCACTTTTAAAAATTCTCTTTCCTTGCTAGACCAATTGAACTCATTAACTGCTTTCCGTTATAAAGAACTTCCTTCTTGCAAAACAGGGAACTATTCAGAAGGACACTACTAAGACTTCTGGTCATTTGGATTTTACCAGCTATTTGTTTTTAGCACTTATTACTCACAGACAAAGTAATTTAGGGCAGGGCCATCTTGACCCACAATTAAAACACTTTCTAGTGGCCAGCTAGGCCTGGTGCAGTTGGACTGTCTGAAACGAGTGAAAAGAAAACAACACCCACAACCAGAGCTTAGATTCTTTGCTCAGCATATCAAGAAAGGTCACTAATGTGCAGCATTTCAAACCTCTTGTCAGTTGTGTATAACTTCGCTGTAGAAGCATGCAAGCAACTTGTTATTCGTGGCATAGCAAGTTGATCCCATCCATTCTGCCAATACACGGAGCACAAGAATGATGCTCTTAAGCAGTCGAACTCAGGAAGAGTTCCAGTAACAGACTTCTCAGGCTAGTCCTGACATGCAAGTCAGATGCCGAGTACACTAGACTTTAGCTAGGTCAATAAGGTGAGGTCTTACACTTACCTTTTCAGAGATGTTTAGTGTTGAGCTGCTTGACAGGAAGATCTGTCTTGATCCACCACCAGCTTCTGTGTTTCAGGAACGCACGTTACGTTAGTGTCGCACTCGAGGCCTGTTGGACACTGTCTGGAAGCAGCTGCTGTCCTTGCCAAAGAAGGGGTGGAGTGTGAGGTATGTCCCACTCACTCAGTGGTATTTCAGGCCAGGATGAAAAAAAATCTTTCATTTAAATTGGATTCATTCTCAACTGCTTTGATTCCTGAGCTAAAGAGGGATTCAGCCATGCTTGTGCTTTGCCAGCAAGGTGGAAGTTTGCATTTGAGATTGCAAAACACTGTTACACTTGGTGGGATTCCACACTGTTTTACTGATGCAGTTCCAAAGGTGCCACGGACACTAAATTCATAGCTTAAAATTTGTGTTCAATACATTTGAGCCCTTAATTATTTTATCTACTGAGCCTTTGGCACTGGCTCCAAAGCTAAATGTATATATTGCTTGTGTGAGCACACTTATGTTCCCCTTGCTTGCTGTCTGTGGGTAACTAAGGGTCTTGTTTACTGTGCAGGGAAGCTTCATAGAGAAACATGCAAGTGTGCAAGTAGCCTTGCACTCCCCTATAAAAGCAAGGGCAGTGAGTTGAGCCAGGGTAAGCCAGTTTGCTACAAATAGTGTGGCTACAAGTAACTACTGGGTTGATGCCAGTAGAGGCATCCCCTCTGGAGACCAGATGAGGAGTACATCCTACAACTGTGGAGGTAGCTGAGGTAAAGACAGCAGAGCGGAAGGCATAGGAGACTCCTGGTTCTGGGGAAGGAGGGTAAGACTGCCTAAAACAAGAATACAAAGTACTCATGAAGTGAAAGACTCTGCTCCAGTAAGCAAGGGAGGGGGCTAGGCTTATAGAACCTAGTACCAAATCACTTACCACTGTCTCTTCCAGGTGATAAATCTCCGCACCATTCGCCCAATGGATGTTGAAACTATAGAAGCCAGCATTATGAAGACAAATAACCTTGTAACAGTGGAAGGAGGTTGGCCACAGTTTGGAGTAGGAGCCGAAATATGTGCCAGAATCATGGAAGGTATCTTTCACTCAGCTCCTGTAACTTGTATGCATCTGTACTGTGTCACCTGCCTCTAATCTATTGCTTTCCTGGCACATGAATGCCTTCCAGCCAAGCCTGGCAAGTACGAGGGGAAAGTACAAAGCCTGTTTTGCTGACACAGTAGATGCTAAGTCAGAAAAGTGTGTTAACTTCTGAAGTAACAAGAGCCCCAGTCCCTTGTTCTACCACACTTATCACCTCTCTGAGGCATGGAGCTTCAAGCAGCTCCTGGGAAGCTGAGCACGTAAGGGCCACTGGATCACTTTGCTCGAGCATTCCCTCTTAAATGTGTGCTGAATGAAGGGACCAAACAGCAAAAACATCTGGTTTCAGTTAACCAAGGAAAGCTGCAGGGGTGGGTTTGCAGTGCGGTTCTGTAAGACCCCAAATACCCAGAATTTTGTGAAACTGCAGGTACATCAAGGAACAACAGCTAGCTCTGCATGGCTTAAGATGCCTTTCTTTGTTCCAGGACCTGCCTTCAATTACTTGGATGCTCCAGCTGTGCGTGTCACAGGGGCCGACGTTCCTATGCCTTATGCAAAGATCTTGGAAGAGAACTGCATACCTCAAGTGAAGGATATCATCTTTGCAGTGAAGAAAACGCTAAATATCTAGACTGTTACAAACATGTTCTTCTAAAATGTCTTAGTTTTAAAACATATGGAGTGTACTGCCTTGTATAGCTTCATGAACCTTTCTGTACAGAAAGAAAAGGTTAAATAACACTTTAAAAATTATTTATATGGTTAATTGTGTAATAAGCCAGCCTTTCAGTCACCCTTCATCTCTAAGCAGCTCTGTGGGGAAGTATATAGCTATGTTTGTGCCAGTCTCATGCTGTAAGTTTGAATCTGTACCCTCTCTGAGAGCTGATGGTACCAGTGAACAGACTGTTCTTCTATTGCCGTCAGAGAAAAAGTCTCATTCTAAATGGTCTTAATTTAGTATGAGAAATAAATGACTACCCAGCCGTGCTGTCTGTCTACTACTTAAAACAGGTCAAATGAGTGGTTTGAAAATGAAAGAACAGCCTAAGGACTGCTACAGGGCAGTGGAGGTGGACGCTGCAGGTTTAGACTGGCTCTACAGCTGCCTTTTATCACAACCCAGATGTCAGTCTGCACTTGCACGGGCCTCTTTTGCACCTGCTACTTAATTAGAGCTGTAAGACTAGGGTGCATATTTCTAGAAATAGGTGTGGTGATGGAGCCATTACCACAGAAAGTATGCGTGCTGGACTTGCACTTCTGGACTTTCTGTTCATGCTTTGGGGCTCCAGAGCTGCGAAGACTCCAGTTGAGGTTGACAAGTAATTTCAGCAAGGAGCCCCCAAAAAAGCTTCTACCTAGTAAATCAATTATTTCAATCCTTCTACCTACAGTCTCTCCAGCATTGCCTAATCAAGCTGTTCTTGGCTTCTAGTCCCCTGACCCCCTTCACTCAGTTCAGTTTCAGATCAGCTGAAGTACCTGGTATGGTAAAACAGTAGCCCGAGGAAGATTTTCCTCCACCCTGTTAACTGTTTGGCTTAGTTCTAAAGGCTTTCTACAGTGTAGTTAAAAGAATAAAACCCAGGTAGGAGCCCTGTAAAGCTTACATAGTAGATACGTGTTACTATGCCACAATTAGACAACCGCCACAGTACTTTAAAATACAGGGGGTTTGTGGACAATGGGGATTAGCTAAACCTGAGCAAAATCCCTGACACGCATATGCCAGCATCTTACTGCTGATCAGCTAGAGTGTTGTGCTAGGATAGCTTGTGGCAGCTTTCCCATGCCAATACAAGGGCTCAGCTCAGCTCAGCTCAGCTGCTACAGCTTTTACAGTAGAAACAATTTTGCTAGTATAGCACACCAGCGTTCTTAAATCCCTCTGCAGATGAACACAGCCAAGGCTAAAGGGAGCCTGCACCTTGGCCTTTTCATGACTGAACGAGCTTGGGTACAGGGAGCATCTTAGAGATGCACCTGCAGATATCTGGCGTGTCCAGGCTTGCTTCTGTGGTATCGCCTTAGTGAACTGTTACTCTGCTATTCAAGACCTCAATTTCTACCCTCATGCACAAGGGCAGCTCCTTGTCTCACTCCACTTAGTAATGCCAACATGTCTTAATTTGTATGCAAGCAGAAGCTTGCATTGGTATTTCTTTGCAAAGTCCGGTTTGCAACAGATCTGAAAGCATCTACCACCATTCTGATTGGAGAAATTCCATTGACATTTATTTTAATAAAAATATGACTGAATATATATCACAAGTTACATGAAACTTTATACACAGACATTCTCTGCATAGTAACAAACACTGATGTACTTGAATTTAAAAATGGATTATCATAATCCTTTAAAGTGCAATTTGTTTAAGGTTTTAAGCAAATCTTAGAATAAAGGATCTTTCAAATAAAGATATTAACTTGTAAAAATTGTGTTTTGTGATTTTCCCCAAAACCAAAATTAGTTTCATGTGGATGAAAAACTTGGGTGTGTTGAATAACATTCCAGTGCCAAATTAACTCCCTCTTCAATTATTTCTTGAATTAACACACCATTTCCCCTGCAAGTGCAATAGATAGCTAGGAAGAGCAGGTTTGGGGTGGTTAGTTCAAGCACGTGTAATCCTGACCAGCATTCAGGCTACTCTCCAACAGCAAACACGTGGAGACAGAATCAAGGCCGCAGTTCCCTCTCCCTCACCTGCATGCTACACTTTGGATTAAGTGCTTTTTTTAAATGATCTAAACCAAAGTTGCCGATTTGGTGCAGCAAACATTTAATGTGCCAACTATAAGACAATGCTGGAAAGTAACTCAGCGCAAACCAAAATTAGATTTGAGCATTTGAAACAAGGGGAAGAGAAGAATCAGAGAAAATAAAAATTACTGATTCACCATTGTCAGAGCTGTTCCTAATTTCAGTCTTTAATTTGTTGGTAGAAAAAAAACCCAACCTGCTGCACCTCTAGAAACATGCATTTGGCTAAAGACCAGAATTCCTTTACCTGGAATAGAGAAAGTGGATACTTGTCACCAGGGCATGGCAATGCAAGTCAAACGGTGGTGCTGCTAGTTAAAGGAGAGAAATTCCTAGAACAAGCTGAAATGGGTCTGAAGAGACAGCTGCAGAATACCACCCCTCGCTGGTGGCTCAATCATCAAGTGAGAAGGGCATCTGTCCATGAAGAACATGGGAGGGAATCCAATCTTGGCGTAACCAGTAACTTCAACTGATCCTGGGAGCACTGTGGTCACACGTCTCTGTTTTCTTCAAAGTTCCTTTCTGAAACCTTTGAATGGAGCTAAGTAAGGCTCCTCGGCTTGTACTGACAGCAGGCCGAGGGTCAGGCTGCATTGGCACATCTGTATTAGGAGGAGGAGGGGGAGCTGCTGGTGGTGGCAGTGGAGGTGGAGGGGGTATTGACGATGCTCCTGTGGAGTTGAGGAGACAACATGTAAATCAATAAATACATCCACAGAACTCGCTTGCAAAGGCACTGAGCCAAAGACTGCAGCTCCTTTGCCACATTACTAGCCAGTATATTTGGCAGTAATTCTTGAGCATGGGCAGCTGCACACTGTGGAATAGGAGGGTCACAGAAACCGAGATAGACCTAGCAGATCTAATCCACTCTCCTGCAAATGCAGGGCACAGGGATCCCCTGTTACACCAAGTCATCTGAGCCATGTCTGAAGACAAGCTCTGGGTGCCCCATTTCTTGGGAACTCGATGAATCATGCGGCTAGGAAATACAAGGAACTGTTACGCACTGGCTGAGAGGAACAAACCAAGGCTCTAAGGTTACAGGCTCTGGCACCAAGTCATACAGGGCACATCTACAGATGTGCCAGACTGTGCAGTCATTTAGTATTTGCTTACACAACTACTAAATGTCTATGCAGTAGCCGACGTTGCTGCAGTCTCGATGCTGCATGGGTTGTTTCCAACACTGCATTGCTGTAGTGACGAGCTATGGCCACGTAGCATCTCGTGTAGCTGCGCCCAGTTACCTATTCATAGCTACATCACAATCTCAGGTTCTTAACGGGGTATCAGCTGGCACCGATTGCCAGGGTCCTGTGTATAGACTGACGATACACAGAGGCCAGATAGTTTCTGAAAGCTCACCAACAGTTTTGCAATGAGTGGAAAGGGCACTTCTTGTTAAGTCTTACCCTTGAATCGTGATATCCTCTTAGCTCCTCATAGACTCGTAAGGGCTGCGAGTATGAATCACAAATACCACAGGAATGACTCCTTGTGCATTGCAAAACCATGACTTTGGGTAATTCCCTGTTATGTCCTGACTTAGACCTGTCCTCGATTGTCTGAGAGCTGTGCTGCCATCCACTCTACAATATTTTCTATAATGGACATAAATACACAAGTAAATAAGATGTTCAACTGCGATCCCTAATAGTTCTACCACCCGTGGCCACACACGGTCAGATGTGGCGTTTCTAGTGCACCCTATCTCTCTCTCAGGTAACGAGATGAGCATTTCAAATATCCAGTTCATATATCCTGCAGAGAATGGAGCTGGATAAGGGCTCAGCTGTGTGCTTATTCAATAATATTCAAGTCCTCCATGCAGGTAAGCAAGGAATCTGAAGTCAATGGGGTCGCATTTATTTTTGCCAGATCTAGCGTATTGGAGGACACTGCTAACAAGGGATGAGAACCGTGCCACTGTCAGAATGAAGGGAAGTGGCCAGGCTAACAGAGCAGTTACCAAGGTTTTCACTGGCAGCAAATGGCTCTAATTAAAAAGACGCAAGGACGCATTTGAGAGGTGTTCAATGAAGTGTCAGGCCTGTGGTTGAGCAAGCATAGGGAAGCCATTCTGTTCTCTACTTGTCACATTTCTCCTTGCTGCATGATGATCTTAGATCAACTACTGATGGTGAAAGAAAAACAGGCTGAGTTTGAGAAGGGAAGTGACCTTAGCTCAAATTTCCCTTGTTTTCATTCTGTCGGGCCTTAAAGGCTTTTTTTCTTCCCCACACAGGAACAAGCCTGGAAAAGAAACTGCAGATACAAAAAAACCCAATGTGTGACCCGGCCAGTACCTAACTGCATTCATAGCATCATAGTGCTTAGGGTCGGAAGGGACCTAACAACATCATCAGGTCTGACCCCCTGCCCCTGGGCAGGAGCGGGTGCCGGGGTCATATCACCCCAGAGCATTCTTGAGGTTTGTGCTCTTCAGTAATTTATGAGAGGGGAAACATCCCAGCTACGCACCAGCCAGCACCCAGAGGGGCACAACACCACGTTCCCATGGAAATGCATGACTGTTTCAAGTCTTTGCATTCATCTCCTGCCCCACACAGAAATAGCCAAGCTCAGGAGGAGGACTCCAGCTCTGGGTAAACTGGAACAATTTGACTTTGTTACAGGAGGATCCTTTTAAAATCAACCTCTCTCATAAAGCGCAAGCCAAAAAGGTAGCACAAACTGAAGACAACCCAAAGGTTCACCGTGCAAGTCACTGACTCATCTGAATTGTCCTCCTTATTCAACTCAACCATCCGGGCCCCTTAATCAAAGCAGTCTAGTAAAACATACTGGGGAGTCATCCCAAGCACTGGTCTTTCTAAACTGTCCCGTGCTCACTGGCGATCGACGTTGCGCTGGAAAATACCGTGGAAAGCTACGACAGAAGAAAGAACAACGACTTGGGTAGAACGAGACTGTGCTACAACTGAAGTCACAGCAGAGCACAACAAAGGAAGCATTGTCCCACATCCTCACTGCTTAACTTGTGAACAGAGCAGCTAGGTATTAATGCAGCGTGCTATGAAAGTGTCGGGAGCATCTGGTAAGGAAAGGAATAGCTGGAAAAAAGATACAGAAAGCAGAACTAGGACTGAGGTGGCAGGACTAAAGAGGCTAAAAAAAAGAATTCAGTTGTAGACTGCATCGTATGAGCGTCACAGAAAATAAACGGTGGCTTAAATTCTGTACAGGGCTCACTTAGAGCAGTAGCCCAGGGACAGAGAAAAGGACACACTTGATGGGAAAAGGCAGAAAGCCCCCAGCATTCACATGATGATGGATCCCTATATACAATTAGGCCAAGGCACCGTTGCCCTTGGCGTCTTGCCTGGTTTCTTTTCTCAGAAGAGTTGTGGGGGAGATGACATTTTTAAAATCCTTTGTAGTTAGGTACTATGTAAATAATACCTGGAAATAGAACAGCTAGCAACACTGCTCGAAACATTGGGAAGTTGAGTTTCTCCATTGTGGAGGCACCTTACCAGGTTCAGCAATTGTTCCAAAACCTTCAATCACAACTGAAACTTCACACACGGATGCAGCAGTTGAAATCGTTGAAGCCACACCAGAAGATAGCCTATGAGTAGTAAATGCTGCGCTTGCCAATGCACATAAAGGTTTGCAACAGCTGTTTCATTTCAATTAGCTCATCAAAAACGGGGACCACCAGCCTGTCCTCCCTCCTCTTCACAGACTCGTGCTTTAAAAGGAACCCCTTGCTCATTTAGGTATAACCTCACCGCAGGGGCAGCTACTATTTTTCTTCCATTTGTCCAACAAGGAAAATCCTTCCTAATCTTTTTTGGGGGGGAGAAAAAAAAAAAAAAAAAGAGTGATTTAATGCAAGAGTTTGATTTGTGGGTCACTGTTACCTCTACACACACGTTGGAAGAAGCTGCTCACAGCCAAATATCTGTTCATTCACAAAGTCACAGGAATAAACATGCAAACAGAACCTTACCAAGGGTTTTTACATGGTTGTTTTTGTTCTGAGGGTGTTAAAGGAACAAAAAGTTTATGAGGTGTTGTAGAAGTTGATGCCCAAATTGAAACAAAATCTTAATAATGGATGTAAAGTGACAGGAACTGTGAAAACTGCACTGAAGTTTGCTTTGTGAGATGCAAACAAGGAAAAGATCACAGTGATATTTTTAAAGATGCCATATTTCATGAAAACAACTCAAAGTAGTTTAAAATCTACTGCTCTTTCAGTCACTTATTGTAGCAGAAGTTCAAAGCTGTCTTTCATTTCCCAGACAGAAACAGAGCATCTTTAAAGAGAAAAATCAATGTTAGCTTACTTTTCTGAAAATTCGCGTTCAAAATGATGCATGCTCTATTGAAGACAGCAGAGAGAGAGAGAGAGGACAAGTTATTATTCTGACTGTAGTATCATTCAGTCACACAGTAATTAAAAACAGACACTGCTAGCCGTGCAGTTATCTAGGTTACACAATGGTTAGTCGGTTTACTACTCCCATAAACATTTTTCTCTGAACAACAATGTACTGGGTTTGAGCTCTTTGCATAAAAGGCAAACCAAGTCAGTCAAGTTACGGTGCACGTAATACAATGAACCACATTCTTGCACATTCTTGATAATCGTATGTACTGGTTAAACATATGCTTCTAAAAGCAAAACACACACACATTCATTTTTAAATGCCAGATGTCAAGCTTTGTGGGTCTTGAAAGCACTTTCAGTTAGTGAAGGTACATTTTCCTTGTACAACTTTAGTGCTGAATGACTCTGAAGAATAACCACAGAACACAAAATCCATTCATTTGACAGAGTGTAACAATTCTCATGTGATTCATGTCTACATTTATTGACTTTTCATCCTGAAGCACTTGCATTGTGCAGGTGAACTTTCAGAAGGAAAATGTTTTGTTCATACATGCCAGTTGGCTTACAGAAACCTCCTTTGTGGGCAAATCCAATCCCTCCACTCCATTCTCACAAGTTAGCACAAAATAACCTGTTGAACTAATAACTTTACATGGGGAAGATGGACCAAGCAGTCATCATCTTTCAGCCCTTAGCGCTTTCACAGAAGAGCTTGCTTATTAATAAATGCTTGCCAGGACCAGCAGGGAGGGAAGGAGGATTCTCACATTCCTTTTTATAATGTCTTCCAGCCCATCTGGCCCCACTTACAGTTCCTGACCCCACACACACAAAAATGAATGGATTTGTAAAGTGACTGCAGAATTAATGCTGTTTAAAGATTGAACATGCAACAGGAAGTGACTTAAATCCTCAGACAGAGCTCAGACCCACAGGAAGCTGTATGAGAATCAGCATTCGCCACCATCTAAATCTAAGCAAAAGGATCCCAGGAAGATGTTTCTATTTGGTAGTCAAGCAGTAAGTAATTTGCAAAAAAAGTTAGACTTCCCCTGTTGGCAGAACACTAGGTAGCCAGGTGTGATTTCCTCGTGTGCATTGCTGGAACAATCACAGGCAGGAGGCTCATGTTATATTGCTTAGATCAGTGGCATGGAATGGCTCCTGCTCCCTGAGCAGGTGAGCACCCAAGCTTACCAAAAGCACATGGACAGGCAGCAGTTTTTACAGATACTCATGCATACATCTTGGACATGGGCTTTCCACACAAAAAGCACTCAAAGGCAAACGCAAGAGGGCCATGAATATAGCCAGAGTGAAGCCATTTAAAAAGAACCAAAACATTTGTTTGCAATACTCGTCACTGTTTGCTGGTGTCCTCAGCTCTGGCACTATTAAAACCAGGAAACAGACAGCCTGGCCTTCCCTATCTGGGGCCGGACTCCTTTCTTTATCCTTCGTAATGCCACAAGGTCAGGCCCTCCCAATCTACAATCCAATACAGCATCACTGTATGCTTCTTCTCTTCTAGATCAGACCGTTCTAACAGCAGATGTTCCCAGTCCACTAAATAATCAACTAGAAGTGTGTAAGAGGAGGCAGTCTTGAGACAAGGCTCTGATGTGCTAATGCAATTTAATTGCTCACAGCAGGGCACCACTAAAATGCTAATCGTGATCACCCACTGCTCCAATCAGCTACTTCTCCAAGCTCAATCCTGAATGTCATGGTCTTCCTCCCAGAAGGTCTAATGCAACACTCCAGCTCTGAGTCGTGTCTTAAACTTACCTATTCAGCCTGAGCCCTGAAACTGAAACAGAACTGTATGGGCTAACTACTGTCGACTGAAAGAAAATACTTAGGGGTGGGCATTTATCCAATTACAAAAGGTTCCAAAAGCCCTTAGTTCTTGAACCAAATTTAGCTGCAGAATTTAACTGTAATTTAATTTCATTTAATTGTAGAAATCTAACTTAACGTGCTGAGCAACTCCACTGTGCAAGCAAGGGACATGGCAAGGGTGGGGGCAGGGCAGGGGATGATACTGCTGTCAGATGCCCTCCTCCCCACTGTGGGGTAGGTGTATCCCATCACCACAACACGAGGCACTGCCTTGAGACTACACTGCCCAACACAGACAAACGGGATCCTGATAAGAAGCCTAGAGCTGAACGGACTTCATACCCTCCGCCAGGCACCTCAGCGAGGTAGAACCATTACAAGAATGCAGATGAGATGCTGAAGCAGAAAGCAGTTCTTGATAAAAAACAGCCCCAGGCTTCCCTTTCTAGCTACCGCTGGAAGCGGTACTACTACACAGTCACCCCTATTCATGCAAGATCAGATGAGTTAATGGCTTCTCAGATGCAGTAAGTCCCAACAGAATACACTTTTAGATGGTGGCAACACTCAGAAGCCTTCACACGCAGCGACACAGCGTTACCAGCCACGTCACAATACTATGTCAGGAGCACGTGCATGGATCACGCAGCAGATTAGCCCACTATTGAGCAGACAGGCATGAGGCAGCATCAACAGGATGAGTCGCGTCATGTAACAGACATTCTCTGAACACGGGATGAAATGTTCTTGCAGACTGCACAAGTCTCAGGCCACATCTGCACTGCCTCTGGACCACACTAGGGAGCACCAGCAAGCCATGGCACAGCCCTGGGACAGGCAGTGTAGCCACCTGACAGCACCAAGGCACAGAGCTTATGGGTTGCTATCAATGGAACAGGAGGCTTCTCTTACAGGAGAGAAGAGTTCAGTCATTATCAACATATCCTGAGCTTGAGTGAGACCGTACTAATTATTCCATATATTGCTGCATGATGTAGAAGGCCATTAAGAATGACCAGCTAACTAAAAAACACCACCAGACCGGACCACTTCCCTACCATTTCATGGATCTTAGACAGAGGGCTTTAAAATATCTTCTAAATAGCAGGGTACTCATTCCTGAAATCAGGTGGACTAGTCACTATAGCCTAATTTTCTCTGAATGCTTTTCCCCCTGGCAGCACATCATGTTAGCAGTCTGGTAATGCTGCTCCTGAATGACCCTATAAATGGAGATTTGACTATTAACCTGGATATACAAAGACAGCACAGGAGACTGCTG